ACGTTACAGCCTACAAATAATTCAACCCAAGTCATATTTCGTGGCAACTGCCTGTGAGGGATTTCAACATATTGAGGAAGTCATTTTTAGTCATGGCCGAAACGTACGTACCGAAAAAGATAAAGGGCTTTTAGTGAAATTGCCACAAAAGCAGACAAGCGCGCTCCGGTGAATCGTCGGGCGACATTGGCCACAACCTTTTTTTAAATCCCTCACCAGCAGAAAACTTGCGATCCTAGGGTGTGGAGCCACTTTCAACACGACAGACACTTCACCCCCAGAGTACATTGCTGCTTTTGCATCTGTTGTTTAACTAACAAAAACGTCAGAAGAGACGCAAGAGTTAAGTCACCGAAAAAACTATTGCTTTGCTAATGCAACACAAACGAGGTGAAACTCTCGGGAAAGAAGAGCAGCAAGCAGTAAAAAGCCTAGAGGCGGATAAAGACATAATCATCGCGACGGCTGACAGAAGTCGTCTTGCATCAGTGCTTGACAAATCCAATAATCAGTAGAAAACTTAGAGCCTACTCGGCGATCTTTAGTCCCATAAAACGTGTCCAGTAGGTAAGATGAAAAATCTGCTTAAGATTATTTTCCAACATTGAAATAGTTTTTAACAAATGCTGAATTGCGGGCCACATAAAAGAACTACTTTCAAAAGCAGCTTCTTATTTGGTTAACAGATGGAAACTGGATGAATATAAATCGACTAATTTGGACGTCCGTCAGTTTGAAAAGCTTTTACCGATTTTGCCTTGGTAAACAATTCGTTGTTTTAATGACCTATGTGATCATTGTGTTGTACGACAAAATAAGAACCCACTTCTATTTCGGATTTTAAGACATATGGATTTACTTATCTACACTTATGTACTTTTACAAAGTGAGTACTTTGTAACTTAGGGGTTTAGTTGTCATCTTTAAACGGCTATTCAATGGCATTTCTATGCAGTCAGCAGGTGAGATGTTGACCAAAGAGTCACATTATGGAAGGACATTTGCTTCTGCGATGGGCACTTTTAGCCAGGTCTACAACGGCGACACGCATTGTGAGAATAAATTCCCACAAGAAGGCTCAGTGTCGGTTGACACTTGTAACGGTAGAATACCACTGCCGGGAAAGACAAGGCCGACTGGAATGGCAATTTCTGGCTTGTCGGCAGTCGTCGGCCGGAGCTGTCAGCAGGGCTCGAGAGGGAGAGAGCCACCTGGCACAACGAGATAAGTGCGTTCCGCAGCGCGACCAGTGAGTGCCCCTCTACCACTTGTAACAGTTTAAGTAACGCGTATAATTAGTCACAACGATTAGCAGGAACTAGGTGCGTTTTGGAGTGGATGGAAAAAGACGCCGACAGGAGGCGTACATTTCGATGGCTAGATCCCTCCTCAAGATTGATGTCGACTCAAGTGACAAACTGTCCTGTAAGAGTAAGCCAGTGTCAACCATTGAGTTGCAGACGCCTATGACTTCCCGCCCTTAAAACCGAATGTGTGCATGATTTATTCGAGAGAAAGCTGTCATTCCATGAATTCTGGAGTGGGCATTTCAAGCGCTGCACAATTTGAAGAGAGAGGGCAATCGATAAGCGGGATATTTGTCAAATTCTGTGAGTGCAATCTGTCAGCGAATAAAGGGACCGTCAACAACAGGATGTCTGCCAACCTCTTGAGGAATGTCTCCGGTAGCAACAATATTCGTCGACGCCGTACGCCCACCATGCATTTACTCGACAGTAGTACTGCCATGGTTGCAAGTAAAATGCCGCCTTTGAACGGCATATGGCCTCACCGAATGTGGTGTCCGAGCCATTAGTTACAGTATCAATCACACCGAAAACACACTAATATCTACTTTAGATTTAGGAGCGGCTTGACTCTGTTCAAAAATAAGGCGCATTTCAATTGACCATTGATCAAAATTACGAAGCACATACGACAACAAGTATATCAGAAATCGGAACGAAGATGTGAAAAACAGATTCGCGTTTGAAGGTGGGGAGAGACCCCAATCAAAGAATTAGTCATTATATCTATAAGAGACTCCCAAAAATTACAGAAGTTCTGCATTGAATACGAGGGAGGAACTGTAGTGTAAATACAGGTTTCAGAGAATTTCATTGCCAACTGATCACCTAGTATTTAATTGGGAATTGGGCTGTGAGAGTAGACAGTGAGCAGGCAGCGAATATTGGGTGGATCAGGCAGGTGGTTGGTGATGTTCCCCGTCCGTGTCTCTTAAAAATTCCTTCAGTTAATAGTTGTCCAGCAAGTCTCTCCATGCACAACCCGCTGTAATAGATGTCTGGAAAATCCATCTTCCCACAAAAGGGTTCATTTCCTTCATTGAAATCGACCTGAATGCCCCTCACCAACACGCGGAATGTACATGCCCATCAAGACCATGGTATGGTGTCGTTGGATGTCATGTCGTTCCTCAAACGCCTACGTATGGAGAGAGTGGACAATCCATCTCAAGATTTCCACCTAGATGTTAAGTTACACACCAGAATGTAGACTGTTGTCTGATTGGTTGAAAGGAGTTCGTCGATCGTGCTACGGAAGTCACGCGCCCCGTTGTGCCTTAGGACTCTCTTTTCAGCCCCGCCAACAGAAGCCCAGCGGAGCGTAATATAGACAGAATAGCATTACCATCAAAAACAAGGGAGAATAAAAGGGCCATTTCTGGCTTATTAGCCATCGTCAACCAGCCATACACAATCTCGAAGTGTGGAACACCTGGGGCTCGATCCCGTAACCTGTTGGTTCGAATTCAAATGTCCCAAATCACAGAGCCACGGGATCGTTGCCCCTGTTTCATAGGGGTTGGGCATGACTGGCTGACGACGGCTAATAAGCCAGAAATGGCCATCTTACTCACTCTTATATTTGTCGGTAATGCTATTAATTCGTCTAATTGTTTACTGGACTGGCACAATAGTTTGCTAGAATGAGGGACGATATCAGACTTTGTCATCTTTCAGGTAGGTCACGAGTTTTGTATTTGCAAGCAAACCTCATGGAAACTGCTAGAGCTAGATAATCGAATTACTTGCCAACCGTCCTGAAATTGTTCTTGTCAGCCGTCTTCTCGCCTGCCCTTCTAGCTACTTCAGTCGGTCTGGATGACCGTGTGAACTGCTGCCAGTCAAACTTGCTTGAACCTTGTCTACATGTGCTGTGCTTAATCTGCTGCTGAGGCTCACAAACGATGATCACCAATTTAAGTCAGTATGACAGTCCCAGGTTCTTGCTACAAATATGCATGTGCGATCACGGGGAAAGTACGTGCATTAGTCGGAGCTGTGGTGTGGGCTCATCTTTATCGCAAACGCCATCCCCTCCACTCCTATCCTCCCTTCTTTGTTTGACTAAAAAAACTTTTCATTTGACGCCGCATTCTCACGGTCTCAAATGATGGCCTACTGTACGAGACCGAAAGCTCATACTAATACGCCTACTGTCCCAGTGATCCCGCGTTCATCTTCTTTGCAGCAACCAGTGTTGACATTGAAAATATATGCGACAGGCCCACTGAACAGTATCGCTATTTTATACTGAAACAGGCTATTACGTTAGTCATCGTGTTCAAAAGACCACTTTACTGGATGAAATGCATTTAGTAGACAAAATAATGCTCTTCACATCCTGAAGTTTTGGTCAAGGTTTTATTTATACGTACCTACACTATCGTATTTCAAAACGAAACTCATTTATTGTCTAGGCCAAAACAACGGCAGCCGATTAATAACTGGGAAAAGTCTTAATCAGTTGGAAATCAGCCGACTTCGATGCGTGTACTGGGGTGTGAAGCTCACAGAGTCTTTTACGCCGAAACTTCAGCCACCACCAATTGATCGAGGATGTTTGCTCTTGGGTGCACCTATCAGAAAACATATACTATGCTAAAGTGTCCTCTTGTATTTCCATCCATAACAGTGAGTTCAAAGTATCTCTTATTTGTCCTCTCTAGAGTCAGTTTTAAAAATATTTCTTTGTTTCAATCTTCTAACGCAAAATTCATTCCGCCTGTTCTGTATCATTCGAAACGTAGTACAGGGGCAACATAATTAATACTCACGCAGCTCTCCTCGTTATACTTAAACGTACGTTGTGAGGCAGGACAAGTGATATGTGAAAAATATGATGTTTCAAGCTTTTAGAGAACAAGTTTTTGTAGCATATAAATGTGTAAATATTTACCCATGCTTGCGCCGACACGACTCACAATAGCTGAAATCGCCAACATCACAAGCATGGCTATTGCAAGATAAAACTATTTGGCGTACATACTTTATTAACTCTCTTTATGCACCGTCATGTTCGCGAATAGTGATGGAAATTAACACCAATGTAGGAGATTTGAATTTTATTAGTACTAAGAGCGCAACACTATCTTGCTAAATTAACAAGCCAGGTTTGCTTGTTGTGTCTAGCAGTGAGGCACGTTGGAAAAAAAAGCGCGTTTATAAAAAGACCGCCATGTCCTCATCCACTAATTAAACAAGCATTTTTAATCGGGCCGATGACCATAGGATACACAAACGTGCTTATATGAAATCCGTCACTTACTAGTGTACGATTTAGGCTTCACGCAAATCAGTACTGCAGCCTCGTCCAATCAGTCCTTTAAAACGCAAGAAAAATGGCATCTGCAATTAAGACGCTGATTTTAGAAGGTATTTTTTTCTTAGGGAAAAGAGCAAGCATCAGGCTAACACATGGAAAGCGCTTAACTCTGTGACGAGTTCATCCCTTAGGCAAACCTGTACAAGCGGGAAGATCATCGGAAAAAATATATTGTTCCATTTTCAAGGCCTGCCGATGGCCATGCTTATAGTCAAATGCAAAAAATGTCGACGAAACTACTTCATGTATATATATATATATAAAAGAAGCGCGTTCATCATCTCCCGAAGAAGACGAAGAAGAAGAGAGGGCGAATTCATGGACCATATTGTATTCGAACTGACGTTTCGGAAACTTCCTCGTTTCCATCATCAGAGTAGCGTAGTTGTTGCACTTGACGATCTTGAGTTGTTCAGTCTTGCCGCTTGCCTCGTATTATAGCCGTGCTGGACGCACGAACTTTGGCCTGCCTGTTTGCCGCTGACTGGCTTAGACCTCCCCGGGGCTGACCGCTGACAGGCCTGCGTGACCTTTGTTCCCTTTGGGGTCCGCGCAATTGTGGTCATATCAACGTGCCGCTTGGCCTCTCCAACATCAGCCGGTGGACTGATCGGTCGTTGCTGTTCAGTTGAGCAGCATTCAGCTTCGCGGGCGCGTCGGTGAGGGAGTGTTCGGCTTTGGTCACATGACCTCTGGCCCTCAATTCCGCTCTTTTCCGTGGGCGTTGACTCTCGGTCCCGCGTGCTCGCTTGCCTTACTGGTCCTGTCCGGACTGATCCAAGCCTTGTACGCAGCGCCTGATTGGCGGGATGTAGGTCTATAGCTCGGTTGAGTGTACCAGCCGAGGACCATCTTTCGAGCACCAGCCTGGCCATCTTCTCATTGGCTCTGCCAATTACCCTCGCTTTCTCAAAGGCAAAATCGTGGTTCAGTTCTCTTATGTGGCCATAGACCAAAGACAGCTTGTCCTTGCGGTTGATTGCAAGTTGGCGTTCGTGCAATCTTGTACCGAGGCGTTTGCCCGTTTCACCAACATACCTCGCATTGCAATTTAGGCATGGTATGCTGTAGACCACCGCCAACTGTTCTGTTGTTGGTAGCGGGTCCTTGGGCTTCATGATTTGCTCTCTGATGGAACATTCTGGTTTATGAGCCACGCCAATGCCAAAAGGTTTCAGAATTCTTGCCGCTGCCTCTGATACGTTTTTCACATAGGGTATTGAGAGCCAGAACTTGGGCTTTTCTCCACTCGACCGCTCAAAATGAGGCTTTTTGAGGCAATTGCATATGAAGGACTTCGGGTAGCCGTTGGCTTTAAAAAGGGCCTGCAAGTAAGTCATCTCCTCCTTCCTCCCACTGTCGTCGCTACAGTGTGTTTGAACGCGTTGAAAGAGGGTTCTGACACAACTGCGTTTATGACCAACAGGGTGGTTGCTTCGGAAGTGGAGGATGCGCCTGGTGTTTGTTGCTTTACGGTAAACCGTTGTCCTTATCTTCCCGTCTGTCAATCTCGTGACTTGTACGTCCAGGAAGGGCAACTGATTGTTGACTTCCTCTTCCATAGTAAACTGAATATCGGGAAAGATGGAGTTCAACAATGCCTTGAAAGCCTTCACCTCTCTCCTTTTGATTACAACGAACGTGTCGTCGACGTATCTGGCCCAGAACTTCTGGGGGTACGAGCTGCAGACCTGCTGCTCGAGTCTCTGCGAAACTGCTTCGGCAATTAGTCCAGACAGAGGCGAGCCCATCGGTGTCCCCTTCTTTTGCTCGTAGACTTGGCCGTTGAATGTAAAGAAGGTCTTAAGACACAGTTCTAGGAGCTCGATTATGTGTGCCCGTTTGAGCTGTTGGTCGGTTTCATCATACTTTTCCCGGAGAAAGCCATCAATAGTGTCGATAGCCAGCGCGGGTGGGATGGAGGTGAATAATGAGATCACGTCAAATTACACCATCACCTCATCTGCCTCCACTTCGAGATGTTTGATGCGTGTCAAGAACTCTTCAGCCGACTTCACTGTCCACTCCGAATCCTTGGTAAGGAAACAAAGTCATTGGTACAGCCACTTTGACAGCCCAAAGGTTGGACTACCACGTAAGGAGACGATGGGGCGTAGGGGCACCCCCTGCTTGAGGACATTTGGTAGGCCGTAGAAGCGTGCCATCGCGGTATCACTGGCTTTTGCGGCCAACGCCTCCCTTCTCGTAAGAGCTCCCGTCTTCCTCAGCTTGCCGATCGTATTGTTTATGCCGTTTACGAGCTTTTTCAACTCGCTGACGGTCGATGGCACATAAGCTTCCTTGTCCATTAAGAGGTTGCCTAGTTTTGTGCAGTACTCAGCCTTATCCATGACGACAGTCGAGCGCCCCTTGTCGGCGGGCAGGGTGACGATATCCTTCATTTTTCGTATCTTCAGAAGTTCTCGATCTTCTGCTTTAGAAATCGTCATCTGGCGTTTGTGTTGGAGGAGTAAGGTCGACACTTGTTGTCGCATGGCGTTTTTGCACTCCTCGCCTGCCTCACACTTCTGGAGCGCCGATTCAAAGGATGCAATAAAGTCTTCTGGTAGAGCATCTCTTGTGTTGAACTTCGCGTCATAGGATAGAACCGCTAGTTGTTGCTGAGTGAAACGATGAGAGGACAAGTTGTGAACCAAGGCACCGTCAGTAGAAGGCTGCTTTGGCGGACTTATTTTCTCAAATTTCCCAGACAACTGGTCATCACGCAACTTGCGGTGACGCCGTGCGCTGTCGAGAATTGCCGCTTTGAGGACCCCCAGCTCGTGGCATTGTTGAACTCCATGTTTCCCGATATTCAGTTTACTATGGAAGAGGAAGTCAACAATCAGTTGCCCTTACTGGACGTACAAGTCACGAGATTGACAGACGGGAAGATAAGGACAACGGTTTACCGTAAAGATCGACTGGCAAGTTGACGAATGATGTTCAATCATCTGGCGGTATTTGCGGATGCGGGCGTGGCAGTCTCGTATCATTACCCTGATCATTTTCTTCTTGAAGTCCGCCATCGTCCGTCGGCAAAGGTCAGTGTTCACAGGCGGTCTATATTTGAGGCATATCGGTAAGACGTCCTCATCAAGGCACCTGTGGAGGAATTTCAGCTGAGCATAGGTGGAGGACTCCCGCTTCGCGAAGGTCTCCCATCTGCGTGCTGAGCGGAGGGCTGTGCGTCCATAGCATACATCGATATGCGTAAAGATTCGAGGTCCTGACATTGTATCGCGTTCATCATCTCCCGAAGAAGACGAAGAAGAAGAGAGGGCGAATTCATGGACCATATTGCATTCGAACTGACGTTTCGGAGACTTCCTCGTTTCCATCATCAGAGTAGCGTAGTTGCTGCACTAGCCAATCTTGAGTTGTTCAGTCTTGCCGCTTGCCTCGTATTATAGCCGTGCTGGACGCACGAACTTTGACCTGCCTGTTTGCCGCTGACTGGCTTAGACCTCCTCGGGGCTGGCCGCTGACAGGCCTGCGTGACCTTTGTTCCCTTTGGGGTCGGCGTAATTGTTGTCAAATCAACGTGCCGCTTGCCCTCTCCCACATCAGCCGGTGGACTGATCGGTCGTTGCTGTTCAGTTGAGCAGCATTCAGCTTCGCGGGCGCGTCGGTGAGGGAGTGTTCGGCTTTGGTCACATGATGATGGAAACGAGGAAGTTTCCGAAACGTCAGTTCGAATACAATATGGTCCATGAATTCGCCCTCTCTTCTTCTTCGTCTTCTTCGGGAGATGATGAACGCGATACAATGTCTGGACCTCGAATCTTTACGCATATAGATATATAAGAATGAATCTGGGTATAGCATCATTCACGGACGTGAAATAATCAAACCTATTTTGCTTAAATATACATGATTTATAATCAGCTTAGGGAGTTTTTTGACAACGGCTTACATGTCCATCTGCGGGCTCCTAAATATCATAATCTCCATGGCGGAGCCAACCTCAGCTTCCTGAAACTTCCCCACCATTTTTCGGACCAAGCCGATACACGGCACGAAACTTCGTTTCTGCACAAAATAGGCATGTGCTTGTGCTGCAATTTCATCATCATATGTAATTTCCTGTGATTTTCTATACATGGAAAATTTACTGCTTGCAGTTTGGGAAACCTGAATGTAAGGGTATGGGCAGGTCGGGTTTAAGATTTTCACGAATTGGAAAAGATTTTTGAAACGGAATTAGGTCATTCCGTCAAGCATAAAATTTAAAAGAGACGTAATGCTTTTTGAGACGAGTAGATGAAGGAATATTTCTATGTATGTTTTCTATGAAATATATTTTTATTGAAAAGGACATCGAAAGAGATCAATTTTTATAGGGTGCAGGAAAGACGTTCGTTTATGTCGGTATCCAGAAGTGTCTGAAATAGCTTGGCAATATGCTGCAGCATAGTCAATATAACAACCCTATGAACTCTATCCCAAGTGGCAAAAGAGTTCTCCCATTAGAAACGGCCAGGAACACGGGCGTGACGTGGGAAGTTGTGGATCACAGTGTTTGCCCGCAAAGTCGATAACATTTCGTGCGGCTGAAAAGACATCCGACTTCAAGACAGACGCTTCGTTAAGATACTTCGTAAAACAGTCATCCAGTAGTACAATAGGTCAAAGTCTAGAATAAATGTGTTACCTCGTAAAATGCTAGCCGAAATTCCGAAATGCGTTTTTGACCCAAGAATTGTAATATTAATCGCCGTAAAGCATAACCCCAAGATATTGAAGTACTTCGGGATGCTGGCTTTTGAGCGAATGCCTTTCCGGCCGCCGGGAAAAACAACATTGCAAAAACGACTATGTGAGAGGTGTGACATTTTTCGTTGATTTTCATTGCCCTTTTCAAAGCACATGTATTTCATAGAAAACATCCAAAATATTCCTTCTTTTACTTAGTTGGAGGAAACATACGTCTGTAGCAAACTGTTTGCTTGAAGGAGGGGTATAAATCGATTTTAAAAAGGTTATGATTATGACGTTTTTAAGACCGTCAAATACCCGTCCATAATACATCCTTTCTCTGAATTCACTAATGCAGCTTGTAACTTCTACAATATGGCTCAAATCCACTGCTACATATATGAACCCTATATGGTCTTCTCTTAAAACGATATGGAAATAGGTGATTTTCTATACATGGAAAATTTACTGCTTGCAGTTTGGGAAACCTGAATGTAAGCGTAAGGGCAGGTCGAGTTCAAGATTTTAAAGAATTGGAAAAGATTTTTGAAACGGAATTAGGTCATTCCGTCAAGCATAAAATTTAAAAGAGACGTAATGTTTTTCAAATGAGTAAAAAAGGAATATTTCTATGCATGTGTTCTATGAAATGTATTTGAATGGAAAAGGACATCGAAAGAGAGCAGTTTTTATAGGGTGCAGGAAAGACGTTCGTTTATGTCGGTATCCAGAAGTGTCTGAAATAACTTGGCAATATGCTGCAATATAGTCAGTATTGCAACCTTACTAACGTAATCTTTTCAAGTTAAAACGCATTCCAGAAGTTTAACTAAAGTTTCTTGAGTTAAGACATCCTCTGGAGGACTGCACACCGAACTGACTGACTTGAAAATGCATCAACAAATGCGTATATTAGTGTCAACACTCGAACTCGAGCATTTACCTCTAATTTGCCTCTTCGACCGTTTCCAAATCTTGTTGCTTAGCCTGTCATAATGCTTGAAGTTAACAATCTGAAGAGCAGTTAATTTTAATTTGTGTCTTCTTTGAGGTTCTATGGTCCGTTAGATTTTCAGGCAGTGTGCACCACTTGCAGCGCACCTCTCGGCTGGTTTTCGTTTAGCCTCCTAACCTTTGCCTTACGGCATCAAATACTTATATGTACAATAAAAATTTAAATATTTCTTCTCACAGCCCAAGGTTAAAAACAGGACTGCTCATAGCCTCGCTGCAGAAGATGGATGGCTCAAACTCTAAAATCCCTGAAGCTATGGTCAGTAATAAATCAGTCGTCACCACTAGGTGGTTTAACGTATTGCTGACGGCCTTAAACTGTGTGCCGCACTGCCGAGTAGAACTGGTACAGTTGAGAGCTCTGCTTGTCTATTACCAACTGACTTTAGGTGAGTTCATGCCAGAGCACGCTATACGAGATGGGCTTAAAAGATCACATTAGTGGTGCGTGTGTTTCACAAGTAGACCTAATAGTTACGAAACCCAAAGTAGGACGTCACATTTCTAAGTTGACGTATTTATGTCTACTTAATTGTCCCTAGCAATTTTCAGCGAGCATAGGGTTATCAACTTCGCATGACGCCCCAAGTCGTAAAACACTAAGTAGTGTTCACAGGCGCAAGATTAGCCGAAGTAGGTGTCTTAAGCAAAGAGTTGGCGTATGCGTAACAGGCAAAAAGGCTTTCCGCCAATATTATGTTACTGTATGACCCAACTTGGATTCGCTCGTAATACCGAAGGACCGCACAAATTCCTCAGTGTTTGTAGCGCAGCTGCGGTTTCCAAAGGAACCTTTTCGCTTTCGTCTGAAATTTTTGATCTGCTTTCAAGAAAGTGTTCAGATATGGTCATGCATGATCTGGCTTGGACAGCTATCCAGCAACAGTGTGTGTTGTGGAAGGAAAAAAAATCCAATACTTTCAACAGGCAGGCGTGACGGTAGTAACATCCTATTATAGCTAGAACAGCAGTACCGACAAAAACAAAGTAGACTGAAATAGCCATTTCTGGCTTATAAGCTGTCCTCGGTAAGCCGTACCCAAACTCGAAGTGCGCAGCACCTGAGGCTCGACCCCGCGACGTATTAGTTATAAGTCTAACGGCTCTAACCACTAAGGCCACAGGCTCGTTGTCCTGTCAGTTGTAATAGTAGATAGGTGCTCACCGATCATTGGGTATGGCTGACTGACGATGGCTAATTAACCAGAACTGGTCATTCCGTTTTCTTTTGTCTTTGTCAGTAATGCTATTCTGCTTATATCACCCGCCGCTGTGCGGCTGCCGGTTTGAGCTCGAGAGATTCTTAATTCACACCAAGGTGAGTGAGTTCCGAAAAATCGATCGGCGAGTACCCCGCCCTCATTACGTGCTATCACAAGGGAGGTAATTGTGTCAGTTCTTGTCTAATATTAATGTTACATATACAGTGGAGTTTCTGATTGTCTCTTATGAAGTAGTATCACTTCTAGAGAACGGATATTCTTATGGTAGGATTTAGAGTTCTGACTGAGCTAGATGCTGATGTGAAAAAACAAAACATGTTGATAATCTCAATGAAAAGAGGAAAATTGATTTTGTTTTTATTGAAAATTACTGACTTCATCGATTGGTATTTGGGCCAACAGTGTTATTTGGCCCTTCAAGCAATCTATAGCTGGTCAGAAAACTGATTAGACGGTACCTGAGCTTAAACCCTTAGTTTTCATTAGAAAGAGCTACAGCATCTGTCGATTTTAAAATTGTTCATAGGGTATTCCCTGTCATTCAGTGAAATAATTAGGTGATTTTCTTTGAAGTATATCAACCATAGGCTTGCACATTTCGGCCAGCCATTGGCAATGTATCTATCGAGTTGATCGTATTTGGCTGATAGGACGCATGTCATTGCGCAGGAAAGCATTTTACCTGGAATTATTAAATGCATTCATAAATATGAAAACGCTTTGCATTTAAGCTTATTTGACAAGTAGCATATTTACTTTGTGCTTATCAATGCGGCTACAAGACACGCAATGTGAGCAGCAGCTATTGTTAGGCTGCACGGAGCCAGTTTAGCGCATGTAATAATGCGAAGTGCCATGTATGGGTTTGGTTAAATTCGAAATACACGCAACACAGTTTAAAAACCACAAAGTACTAGCGTTTTCTGGGAATACAATCATGAAACATTATCAAATCTATGCAGGCATTGCAAGCCAGTCCAAAAATTAACCTATTAAAACTTCCGTAATTTGGCGAGCCTGGGTTTTGTCTTTGACTAAAAGGTGCATTAAATGCAACAGACAGTTACCGCAGGATATCAGTTGGTGACAATTTACTGACGTAACCATTTCTGGTAAAATTTATGACTTTATCAAACTTCAATGAGACTTTGAATCGAAGGATCCTTAGTGCTCTGCACACCACCCATCTCGCCAATCGGCAAAGGACTGCGCAATCCCAATCTGCTGTTTCGTCAGTCAAAACTTCCAAACTGCAAATATTCATTCACAAATGTAAAAATCCGACACGCAATGTTTAGAAATTTCAAACATATTACAATGCTCATGTTTGCTATTGCACCTTTACGGTTTGGCCTGTTTTGAAAAGTCACTTTCAAAACGAACACGCCAAAGGGTCCACTTTAGCA